ACTGACTCTTGGATCCCTATTCTAAATTGTCACTTGCTTGCGAGCCACTTGTAATAGCTTCACAGAAATGAGTTGTGTAAAACTGTGTAAATAAGTCAAAAGAGAAAACATAGTACTGTGTTAACATTAGGAGTAAGAGACCATATCAGAGATATACTGGGATAGTTCTATATCTAGATTCTAATGTGGATGCAGTTGACTAGACCTAACCTATAATTTTATATGTCAGTTTAACACACTCTTTTATTAGTCTCACAGTGGAAAAACAATTACCCTTTAAAATCTTTATCTAGTTAATCTTTGCACATAGCTTTTCATATACAAAGTGTTGCATCGGTTATTTATTTATTTATTTATTTTTGTCAACTGCTTACAAGATAATAGGTATAAGTAAAACATAGTTATGAATATATGGATACATATAAGAAAAATAAAAAAAATAAAAGAAACAATAGGACAGGGATGGTAGGCACGTTGGTGCGCTTATGCATGCCCCCTACAGACCTCTTAGGAAAGGGGTGAGGTCAATAGTAGACAGTCTAAGGTTAAAGATTTTGGGGTTTGGGGAAGAAACCACCGAGTCAGGTAGAGTATTCCAGACATTGACCATTCTGTTGCTGAAGTTGTATTTCTTGCAATCAAGTTTGGTGTGATTAACCTTGAGTTTGTATCTATTGTTTGCTCTTGTGTTGTTATGGTTGAAGCTGAATTATTCATTGACAGGTAGGACATTGCAATATATGATTTTATACACTATACTTAGATCGGACCGAAGGCGGCATAGTTCTAGGTTTTCTAGGTCTAGAATTTTGAGTCTGGTGGCATAAGGTATTCTGCAACGAGTACAGGAGTGGAGAACTCTTCTTGTGAAATATTTCTGGACTTTCTCTACTGTGTTAATATTAGATACGTAATGTGGGTTCCATACTGATGAGCTATATTCAAGTATTGGTCTGGCAAATGTTTTGTATGCTCTAGTTATTAGTGTAATATTACCAGAGAAAAGGCTACATAAGATTAGGTTAACAACTCTTAACACCTTTTTGGCTATGTAGTTGCAGTGGGCTCTAGCACTTAGATCATTAGAGGTGAGTATTCCAAGGTCCTTTACAGAGCTTGGGTCATCAACAAGATCTTAACTATTCAGCTTGTATTTTATTTTCTGATTTTTTTTGCCAATATGTAAGACAGAGCATTTATTTGTTGAGATTTGAAGTTGCCATTTGTTTGACCATTCTGATACATAGTCAAGGTCTTTTTGAAGGGTAGCAGTATTGTCTGTGGTGTTGAATAGTTTTACATCATCAGCGAAGAGAACACAGTTGTTCTTGATATCATCAGAGAGGTCATTTATGTAGATTATGAAAAGAGCTGGTTCTAGAACACTGCCTTGAGGGACACCACTGTTGACAGGTACAGAATTTGATAGGATGCTCCCAATTTTGACCATTTGTTGTCTGTTTGACAGGAATGCTTCTATCCAGTTATGCAGGTGTCCAGAGATACCATAAGATTTTAGTTTTAGGAGTAGTTTGTCGTGTACCACTGAATCAAAGGCTTTACAGAAGTCTATGTTGATTGCGTCTATTGCTTTGCCCTGATAGAGTTGTGTTGTCCATATGTTTTTGCAGTGTAAGAGTTTCAGATTACATGATAGTTTTTTCCTGAAACCAAATTGTTTATTAGAGAGTAGGTTGTTTGTTTCTAAGTGGCGGATGATGGATTGGTTAATAATTGATTCCATGACTTTACAGGTGACGCAGCATAAAGAGATTGGTCTGTAATTTTCAACTAGGCTGGGGTCTCCAGTGACCACAGTTTTGGCAAGGAGCTGGTCCTGAAAGATTTTTCAAAGATTATGCTTAGAGGTTCAGCTATGGCAGTGGATAGCTTTTTTAAGAAGTAGGCACATATTCCGTCCGGTTCAATAGATAGAGATGGTTTTAGATTGCACAGTGCTTTTTCAACATTGTCTTCTGTAAAATCGATATATCATTGAAGTTTTCTGTGGTTCAACTAGGAAATACTGGGCATGATTCATTGCTGTTTACAAATACTGAGCCAAAGAATGTGTTAAAGAGGTTGGCTTTAATAGTGTCGTCATTGCAGTCTTTACCATTAGGTCCTTTCAGGGGTGGGATGGACCTTGAGTCTTTTAGTTTGTTGTTTACAAAATTGTAGAAAGCGCGGGTGGACTTGGTGCATAGAAGGTTTTCTTCTTGTTTAATGTTTACATATGACACTAAATTTATCTTCAGTTTACAGAATTAATATTTACATATGACACTAAATTTATCTTCGGTTTACAGAATTAATATTTATTTCTTTGATTTATATACTCTCCTATTTAACTTTTATATGCTTACAATAAATATATAAAATACAGAATATAATAAAACAAACATTTAAAAAATCACATAGCAGCCAGGCATAATCTAACATAATCATCCACACAACCAAGAGATGGGCTCTAACCCATTTGCACATATTTGCACATATAAGCCTTCTGGATCTAACTAGCCAACATTCCCTAGTTGATAGTATTCAGAGCATGCCCTTTCTTGCCAGATCAGACAGGACAAGTGGAAACAATTTAGGTTTTTATACTTCATAAATAATGTCAAGGAATGTATCAAGATTTCTCCTGCATCTTTCTGAAATTTAGATCACTGCCTGACCGCTATGCCCAGGACTTTACAAAAGCATGCCCTTTATTATTATTTTTTCCTTTCCTTCTTTCCTTGAATGAATTTGATTAACTCCTGATATTGGGATTATTGAAGAAAAATGGTCTCCATAGGCTTTTCTATTGATTCAGCTGTGTGTGTGGCTATATCTTCTCAATTTCTTCAACTGCATGCATCAATTTGTGAATATGATTACATATATTGTAGCACCACCAGTATGAAATATATACACAGCCAATCCCATAATGGTGACAATTCCTTTAAGAATCAGCAAAAGCAATACGTAACTCATAATTCTGAAAATTAGGAACTAAATCATTTAAAGTTTAAAACACTAATTACAAATTAACACAATGAATATTTACCGTTATGATAAATAAGGTGGCACAACAGCCATTTAATTCTTAAGTTTTGTTTTGTTTTGTTTTGTTTTGGTGAGCTGAAGAGATGCATCCATCAAAACCAGACAGCAATATGTCCTGCCTAACATGAGGCATTTGTGAATTCAGCTCTTCCTTCTATATTTATATGAGAATATTTTACAGGAAATGGAAGTCAAACTATCATTTTAAGGTGCTTCAGTCTGATTAAGGTAAGCACTGATCTGCATCTTATTACCTCCTCATTCTGCTTCCTACATGGTGGTTCTATTCTTACCCTATTCAATCATACTATGTTAGATCTCTAAATACCTCATGCTCATGGCTTCTTGGGTGACCAAGAAGAGCTTTGCTTGGAACTTTTTCAAGAGAAACTAATTGATTAATGTAGTACCTGCTTCTAGATATTCTCGAAAGAATGAGACATTTCAGCCTTTATCTAAGAGAAAGTATGTTCAGAGAAAAAAACTAGAAATGGAAATATACTTAGAGCAAGAATTAAACAGTTGTACTACTAGGCATATGAAATGTTTCATTCAGTGATTAAGACATAAGACTAGAAACTGGAAGAACATGATTTACTCAACATGAAGCCAACTGGACCTGCATGACAGTTGGGCCAGCCACTATCACTCAGTCTTTGAAAGAACCATTTCTGAAAAATCTTGCCAAGGAAAATGCAGGGACTAATCTAGTCCCCATAAACCAATGCTGAGTCAGGCACAAAAACAACTATCACCACCATTCTACCCCTGCTTGGGTTATAGTAGTTTTTCTGGGAGCATATTTTCCATTGTTAATTATTTATTTATTTCTTGCAGAAACAAAGTGGAGACATTGTCAAAGGATGTTGTAATACAAAGACCTTTACAATTTCTTGCCCAGCTTTACAAAATTATTATGATATGCTTATCTTGCCGAACTTTCCCAGGGTAGTCTGCTATACATATGACAATGGAAGGAACAAGGAGGCAACACTTTTCTCTCTCCTTTAACTCACTATGTTTGTCAGTAGAACAAGAAAACTGCAGGAAAAGATAAACATTTATTTCCTGTCCATTCTAAAAGTGGGAGGTCTTGTAAATTATATTAGTGGACTAAAACCTGAATCCTTACATTTCATCAAATTTAGAAGCAATCCTGGATTCCAGTGAACAAAACTGATTCAATTTTAGTTTCGTAGCTTAGATCCAGTTGTTATGACTTCATCTGAGAAAGACTTCTTAGATAAGAAAGATGAGTCAGATGACCTCACTAAACTCTCTGGATCACATGACCCAGATTGTAGTATAAGACTCTGACCATAATCTATCTCCACTAACCCAGAATACGTTGACCAAGACTCTGTCACATATTTACCAGCACAGTCCATGTAAATGACAAGTCAAATGTCAGAAAATAAAGATCTATCAGTGTGCAAATATACAAGAGAAGGTCTTGAAAATAAAAGTACATTTAAGAATTGCTCAATATCTGTAGAGCTTAAGGCAGATCAAACCTGAAGCCAACTGAGTAAGGACCATGTAACGATAACTTTTAGTACATTCGTTGTCTGACAGCAGTTTATTATTGGAAGCAATAGCTTGCTTGTAAAGCCCAGGGAATGGATTCCCTTGCATTTGAATCCTGATTAACTTCCTTGATATCCACATATTTGCAGGCTAATTTTCATTCTTTCTTGTCTTTGTTTTCTGGAATCTCAGCATGGATTTGGAATACTCTGGCTTTGGTTTTTGAACTCACAGAAACTTATTGTGTATTGTTTTGATCCTTAGCAATATTTTGGATTTAGACTCTGTATGGTATAGTTAAGCTTTCCTTTATCTCCATCCCCAGCCCTGACCCAACATAGGATATTGATATCAATTTGAATAATAGTATCTACTTTGGTCAAGATACTGAATGTTTTTTTACAGAAGTTAATTGAACTTACCTTCAGCAGCTGGGAGAAGAGCTGTGATTGCCGAGGTCTGTTCCAAAAATAGGGGGGGATACGAGCCTGAACACAAGAGAGGCATGAAAGGCTATTAATTATAATAATATGCAAAACAGTACATAATATATAATGAAGTACACTTGGAGACCACTTTAAGAAAAACAGTCCCTCAGCAGAAAGGAGTTTCTCCTGAATTGCCTGCGTATATTACTAAGTATCTCCTAGAAATAAAAGGGGGCGGAACAAATAAAACCCCTTGATTTGAAGTTCTAGATGAGTGAGTGTGAAATCAAAAAAGTTAAAAATTCTGAATTATTTGCTGATCTCTTTGTATTCAGGGTTAAAAAACATCAATCTATATAATCAAGCATCCCACATTTATAGCTCTTGATTGTTGGAGGAGGAAGGCCTGAAAGCCCTTTTCCTTCTGTTGTAATAAAAAGGACTTTTCTAATTCATAAACGTCTACCGAGTTGAGGAGACACAAGCTCTTTAACAGATGCTTTACTTTGTGTAGCATATTATCAAGCCTTTGTAGATATGTCCGCATGAGTGCAGCTGCAGAGTAACATGAGCAGATGACGTACTTTTCAGTGAAAGAGATTATCATTTTGTGAACAAAAAGGGAAGAAGTAGAATTACTACTCTCCACATTTTGGGTAGAATACACAGGCAAAAGACCTCTGCATTTTGCACAAGTGACCACAGCCCCAGATGACCCATTCTAGAAGGTGGCTTAGCATAGGCAACATCACATAACCAAAGCTAAAGGGAATTGTTTCTCCAGGATCAAGGGTGAATTAATGTTTAATATGGTTAGGAAAACCGTTTGTCCACTCTAGTAGAGTAACTCTGGCTAAAATGTTTTTCCTTTCTCATTACATGTGGGATATGTTGGCAATAAATGTCCTCTCTGAACATGCTAGTTTCTCTTTTAAACCCTCTACTTCCCACCTTCACTTTAATAAAATATATATAATAAAATACTTTAGTGTAAGCTATTTCTTCTACTGTTACTTTCCATACATCTTGAAAACAGGCATCAACTCACAAAAAATGATTAGTAATATAAATCAGGATTACGACAGCCAAAGCTTTGAAGTATTGAGATAATACAGTCAAATGCATTCATAAAAATGTATGCCTGCCATATTAGGTTATTTTATTACACATCGGCATAGAAAATTTTACCTTGACAAATTTGCAATTTATTTATACTGACAAACATGCAGCAATATAGTTTTCCTCTTCTACATTTCAACTTCGAACACCTATTCAGCCCATATGTCCATTCTCAAGTGGGAATTTAAAATCTCAGGTTTTAAGGGAGATATAAGTTATGAAATATATAATGCAATTTCTGGCTGAACGTGGATGAGGTCATTCTGGTACAGTTTCATTCTGAAAGGAATGAAATTTGACAAGGCTTTGAACCAAGCAGTCCCTTGAAACTGCTTAGTGAAGCCTGCCTGGTCTGCTCCCTTTCAAGAGCTAAATGATGTGGCTATGTGGCTTTGCTTCAGTGACTCCCTTGGTTTTTTCCTCACAGAGCTTGCAGTATAAAAGAAGCCTGACAGAAACTTCTTCTTCAGTGAGCACTGTGGGAGAAAGCTGAGATATACATTCTCCATATTGCATCTAACCGGAATCACACCCTGCACAGCACCAGCTTGGGCTGCGCAGAATCCATGAAAGGATGACTAAATCAAAGAGCCCTTAACCACGGGAAGGGAGTCAACCCACAACTAGTTTGAAGTCTCCTCTTCCGTATAAGAGGACTTCAAAGCTGTCTGGTTTCAATTCAGGAGAAGAGCAACACAAAAAGATTCCCAAACTAGGAGTGGCTGTTCTAGATTGTAAAAAAATAAATAAATCCTGAAGCTCATCCTCTAGATAGCCAGCACCAAACTCTCTTCTTCCAGAATGAGATGGATTTCAGAGGTTCAGAGCAGGGGTGGGATGCTATCGGTTCTGCCCGGCTCAGTAGAACCGGTAGCTCTGAAGAGCAGCAGACACTGAACTGGTTCTGTGTTTGCTGCTATTTGGCCCGCATGCCTGCCCGGGCTCTTACCTGTCCTTTATTTCCTGATTTTTCAACCTCAGATGCTTTGCGTGGCACAGCTGAGGTTGAAAAAGCAGAAAAAAAGAGGCTTTTCAAACGCTGTGCACCTGCGCGCAGCACTTTTCAGCTCACCGGGTGGCACAGTTTAAGGTTTTTTTACACATGCACAAAACATAGTCACTGAACCGGTAGTAACCCCAGTTGAATCCCACCCCTGGTTCAGAGGTTCCAGCCTGTTCCATAGAATTCAGTAATAGTAACATAGGTAGTTTTGAGTATTTGGACCAGGTATCCAACTTCTACAACAGAATAGAATTCTTTATTGGCCAAGTGTGATTACACAGGGAATTTGTCTTGGGGCAAATGCTCTCAGTGTACATAAAAAAAAAGATACATTCATTAAGAGTCAAGAATCATAAGGTACAACACTTAATAATAGTCATAGGGTAGAATAAGCAATCAAATCATACTAGGAAACAGTCAATATAAATTGTAAGGATACAAGCAACAAAGTTACAGTCATACAGTCACAAGTGGGAAGGGATGGGTGATAAGGAGTGATGATAAGATTAATAGTAATAGTAGTGCAGACTTTGTAAATAGTTGGACAGTATTGAGGGAATTATTTGTTTAGCAGAGTGATGGCATTCGGGGAAAAATTGTCCTTGTGTCTAGTTGTTCTGGTATGCTCTATAGCAGGGGTCGCCAACCTTTTGGACTTCAGGGACCACCAAACTCATAATTTTAAATCCCAGGGACCACTAACTGGTTCTATGAGTGTGGCCTAATTTGTGGGTGTGGCTTGGTGGTCATGTGATTGGCTGGGCATGGCTTGTATGTAAATATTATAAATATTTATATAAATATTGAATTTTTTATAAAAAAAAGAGCAACTTTTACCCAAAATCAGGCAAAGCTGTGAGATTGGGTTGCTCACAGAATCACAGATTCATTCAGAGATCGATCTATCTGCCATTGGCTAGCTCAGTCTGTCACATAAAATTTGCTAATAAGCAAACTCACAAAATTAACTCACAATACACCATGTATGTAAATATTGAATTTTTTATAAAAAAGAGCAACTTTTACCCAAAATCAGGCAAAGCAGGCAGGCAGATTCAGTAACTCACAGAATTCAGTGATCTATCTATTTGCCATCGGCTAGCTCAATCTCTCAAATTTGCTTGCCGTGAGTCTGCACTGAATAATAGAACCTTCAGGTTTGGCTGTGCTTAAAAGCAGAGCCAAAGATCTAAAGACTAGCTAGAAAGCAAGAAACCCAACCATTTCCTGCTTCCTAGCTAATCTAAATCTCCTGGCAGAGCAGAACAGATGATGGTCGGAAAAAGGAAAAATAGCAATTTAGCAGGCAAGTTTGCCGGGTAAGGAGTGAGTGGGCGGGGAGGGTTCCCGCGGGCCATGTGGGCTACACAGCCTTGTGTTTCTGCACAGCCTGGATTAATTGCTTTGGGGGGGTGCTCTGGGGGTGAGATTTCTCTGCGGCCCACAAAAATTTTCTCATGGCCCACCAGTTGGCGACTGCTGCTCTATAGCATCATTTGGAAGGTAGGAGTTGAAACAGTTTATGTCCAGGATGTGAGGGGGCTGTAAATATTTTCTATTGGACTTAAGCGATGATGCCACAGACACCCCACAGCCAGAAACCTATCTTGCCTACTTTTTCTCTCCCTCCAATATTTGATTTGGGGACAAATAAGAATTTAGGGTCTAAGCAGTTCTCTAAAATATCCTACAGGAAATCAGAACTAACAACATTGGAGATACTTAAATAGGTTTGGGAGAAAAGGGATTATAAACACATTTTGAGTAGAATACTCAAAAAGAACTCTGCATTTTCCACAGGTGGAGGTTGATATTGCCAGTGGATACAGAACTTAATGAGGAGAATAAAATTTTTGAAGGAAAGATGAGAAGTTTAGTCTTCAGCGCACAGTTTAAGAAAGCAATGGAAATCTCAAGGAGCCAAACACGGGATAGAAGAATAGCTAGGTGTGAAGATGTATGAGTTAGCAAACCATGAAGACAAGAAAAACCAATAAGGACAAGAAGACAAAGGAAATGCCCAATCTAACCTAAACCAATCTTCAAAATGAATTAAGAAGAAAACCAGGGAAAAGATACAGAAAGTTAATGCCTGATAGAAGTCAAATCAACCTTGTTACCACTATTTGCTATTATAATAGAACTAATTCATGCTTGCAAATACTTTCCCGAGAGTGATTTGAGAATGAGTGTGTACAATAAATACACATAACATTATAGAAATAAGGCAGCTTTTGCTACCATGAAAAACAGCAGGAAAATTTTTTATTAATTAGTCTGTTTTATTAGGAAATGGGGCATTAGTGTCATTGCAAATAACTATTTCATTGTAAAAAAATTCTTGAACATATTAATTAATTCTCTGTGTGAGAGAACTTTCATTGTAAAAGCAAAACGGCTAACAACCTCAAGGGTTGTGTAAATTCAAATAATAATCCAACAGTCTGGCAAAACTTCCAAGTCCAGCTTTTCACTCAACTATATATTTCTTATTAGTTTGTAGGGAACCTTGAGGAATGGAGCAATAAATGGCAATATACGCATTACACAAATGCTGTGAATTACATACTTCTATCAGCTATCAGGATATAATGGAAATCTTTGTGTAATAAAATCACTGGCACCATCTTGGTTTGCTGTGAACACTGCTGGCTTAAAAGTAGACTTCTCATTAATAACGAGATCCTATTATTACAGCTATCTTCAGAACCAGGGGATTAGATACAATTCCAATTGCAATAGAGTGCTACACACAGTTTGTAATCAAAATGCTTAATGAAAATATTCTTGCTGATATCTTGCACACTACAGGATACCATGAGGTCAGTTTGTCCTGTGGGGAAGCTATAATACGTCTAGTGAGCAATAATAAGCATCAGTGCAATTAATCATTTACATGGTTATAAAATCTAATAGATTAGCTATTCACCGGAGAAAG